CAGCGAGGTATGGACAAATAGTTGACAGTACGGAATATCATTGCGTAGAAGAAAGGCACTTTCATTTAAGGTCCCATCTGAGAAAGGATCCGAAGAATACAATAAATTATAGCCTGAGATAGGTTGGAAAACAGCCGAGTGTAATTTTTGGTTCTTGTAAGCAAGCACCAACAGGGGAAAACCTGGAAAGCAACATCTGAAGCTCACCCCGATTACCCGAGGCCGCGGATATTCCACTGTAAATAGGCCATGATTGGCGATGAAGAAAATACCAGGAATCTGTTGGTAAAGGCACCTACGGACTAGAGGGGTTAGAAAAGTCAACGTGTGGTGGCATTGGAAGACGTTCAAGCAGCGAAGGAACAGAGCGTTGCAAAGAATGGAAGAGAAGGAACAGGAAGTGAATCAGTGTCCATTGAAGGTTTAGTCTCTGCAATATATTCTGAAATGGCTTCAAGTGTTTCTGAATTCAAAGATGTATGAGAGACCATATTGGAGATAGAAGGAGGGTGAGTAAAGATTGGGACAGAAAAATGACTGTACCAAAGTAGAGGGGGAGGGAAGAGTGTAAGGGACTGGAAAATGAACTGTGGGGGGGGGCAGAAAGGCAGAAACCGGGGAGGTGGCAGAAGAGGGAGAAACTTTGGGAGGGACGGGGGTGAAGGCATAGTATGAGGGGGAGGGTGAATCTCCACACTTGTAATAGAGCCAGAGAGAGGGGAAGAACTAGGTACAGAGACTGGAAAGGTAAAGTGTGGAGGGTGGAAGAAGGGAAGGAAGGGGCAAAGAAGATTTGAGCAATGTGGATTTTTTTGGACTTATGAGTAGAGGGGCGATTGGTATTAGGTGTCGTATGAGGTCTTGTCGATACTGGGGCTTGTGAGGAAGGACGCGAAGATGTGAGAACAGACCGAGTTGTAGTCGGGACGTCAGAGCCAAGGACAGCAAAAGGATTAGTGCCGTAGTAGCTATGGGAGGGGTAACAACAGAGGAGGCTGCAGAAGATGGGACCCCAGAAGTGGGGGGATGTTTTTTAACACGAGAATAAGAAACACGGGGTAGTCTCCCTTGGAGGCGGAGATGAGTAACTGCCATAGCATAAGGGAGACCTTCTGCCTCTGAGACAACGGATTTCACGTTCATTTACGTAGACCTGGCAACGGCGGGAGTACGAAGGGTGAGCTTCATTACAATTAAGGCAAGATGGAGCGACTGCAAGATGTATTAGAATGGTCGCCGGCACCACAGACTGGGCATTCGGCCATAGATCTGCAATATTTCGCTGGGTGACCAAAACGCCAGCAATTTCTACATTCTTGCGGTGTAGGTATCACCTTTCGAACTTTTAACCTATGTCCCGCGACATATACAGGGGAAACGGGGGGTTCTCGGCTGTCAAAAGTTAAACGAGCTACATTGCAAGGGTAACGTCTCCGCCCCTGGGCAGGAAGGACAAGAGTGTCTACTTTGAGGATTGGGAGATCCTGGAGTTCCAGCTGTTCAAAAATGTCATTGCCACATGACTGGAAATTCTGTTGGACTATGGTATGGGCAGATGACAGTACCACTACAAGAATTGAGAGAGATGTTTTCAATAGTGATAGGAGTAGTATCGATATTCGAAAGGAAGAAAGACCATGGGGCTTGGGTAGCATTCTGGACAGTGAGATGCGCATACTGCTCGAGAACATGAATGAAAATATCTCTACCAACATGACAGGAGCACTTTGCCAATACTATGGTCAGAAAGGTAGGCAGAAGAAAATCGGTCTTAAGTAAAGAATTAGTCTATTGTGTGGTCCAAACTGAGCGTGGAGAGGAGTGCTTGACGTGTCGGCCTTTTTCCGAGTAGAATAGGAAGGTAACGAAGGAGCATCATCAGGAGATTGGGCGTTGGCGTTTAGGAGTAGGACCGGAGTTGGTCCGCGTGAAATGGCGGGCGATTCGAAAATTGCCGTACCGTAAAAGGGAGAAGCCCGGGAAACATAGTCAAAGGAGAGCAGAGTTCAGACAAATCAAGGAGTCAGTCGAAGCCCCGGTACCTGAAGCGGGTGAGGAAACAGCACCAGCAAGAGGTACAGGGGCATCAGGAGTGTCCGAAGAGTGGGCTAAACACAAGGCAGGGGCAGAATGGGGTGCGGTATCAAGAAGGGGCCCGGGGTTTGTGGGTTCATGGACTAGGCTGGGCCCTGGTTAGGTTACTCCTTTGCTTTTTATTTTAAGAAAAAAGAAATATAAATAAAAGAATAAAAAAAGGGGGAGCGGGGAGAATAGTTCCCAGGAGGAATGAAAAAGGGGCCCGGGAAAACTCCCTCTGCAACCCCAAAAGGACCTCAGCACCGCTAGTAGCGCAGATGCAGCATGGAACCCGTGCCATACCCTACCCTTCATGCCAGTAAACCAGCAATCCGGGATAGCAACCTCACATCTGCCGAGCTACCTCGGTGGACAAAAGAGAGGGTGGCCGGATGTCCGCCACAAAGCATACCTCCTTCGGCCACCATCCCCGGAATCCGAAAGGTGGCTTCCAGAGATACACCCGTCGCCCGAAAGACACCCAAAGCTACTCCGTGATACCGGAGAGGGATCGGGACATCCCCAGGCAATCCAGATTCCACGGCAAACTACGCCACCGCCAAGAACCTCAATGGAATGGGATGGACCCCGGTGTCCTTTCCCCTACCTAGGAACTAGCGTGCCTGTGGGAGAAATCCCAAAGGCCAAAAAGAGGAAGGGCAAAAGGGAGGGGTGAGGAGGAGGAGGAATGGAAAAAGGGGAGGATGGGGAGGATGGGATAAGGGAGGGGAGAATGGGGGGTAATTAGGTTCGGTCTGAGGAAGAAGGCCGACAGGGCTATTTCCTCAGACCAAGAGCCTCTTCACCACGCCAAGGAGCCCCCCCTTGAAGAGGCCAAGGACTCTAACCCATGCTGCTTTGGCCTGCCTCATGGTGGGCGAAAACACACGACTCCCTAATCCACTGGACCATACGATCCTTACAATTAGGGAATCCAGCGGAACTGGATGTTGTACTCCCTACCCAAAGGCCAAAGCAGCATGGGTTCGAATCCTTGGCTAGTGCAGTTTTATTGATCAATATCACTCGTTCGTGTTCACAATATAAAATACTGCTCGTTGAACTAGTACACCAAACGGAGAAGAATGAAATTAGCTTAGAGTCATCCACACCGTGTGTCCTTGGGTAGCGAGTACAACATCCAGTTCCGCTGGATGCCCTACTTGTAAGGATCGTATGGTCCAGTGGATTAGGGCGTCATGTGTTTTCGCCCACCATGAGGCAGGCCAAAGCAGCATGGGTTCGAGTCCTTGGATAGTGCAGTGTTATTGGTATATGTATATATAATTTGTTTCAGACAATTGGGGAGCCTCCTCCCCCCCCTTCCCCCAGTTTGCTCTACATAATTATTTTGGGCAACAAGTGCAGTTACGTAAATTTATTGCGAAAGTTTCTGCCTTCACAGTAGGCTCAGTTAGTCGACTACTGCTTCTGCTGACTCCTCTATTTAACTGAAGTCTGTAAGCGAAAAGTTTCGCAAAAAAGATACTTCAACTAATTAATATTAGCGATCTCGCTCGCTCTACCGAATTTATCGAAGGTGATGCACAGTACCTGTGAATTCAGTTTTCTGTGAATTATCTGCGGTTTACTGTGGTACAAAAAATAACCCTTAATTTTGCTTAATAATGACCACAAAAGTAGTGTTGGTGACGTTGTTCCAACACTAAGACGCCGTCAAGTACTGCCCATCACTGAACAAGTGATAATTCTCAACTTAGTGCCTAATTCATCAATTTATCTATCATAGGTATGTATGTCAACGAAAGACTATTGACTATATATATTGGTTCGCTACTATCAGCGGTTTCGGGTATCCACGGTAGGTTGGAGAATTTATCCCCTTCAGATACGAGGGGACTTCTGTCGCCTTTCCTCACAGGATGCAAGAAGTTCCTGGGATGAGATAGAATATACTGTGTGAGAAGGATAGTAGTTTCTTTGCAATAGTTTCATTACGAATTCGTGAGTAATGCTACAAGTTTATGATAAACTAGCCATAACGTAGCTAAAATTGAAATTGACGTCGTGCTGGTCAAAACGGACATGCAAACTTGCATAGATGGATTGATTTCCAAGCAAAATGTTCCTTCAAAAAGGACCTGCATATAAATGCCCGACTTAGATTTTTCTCTATTTACACGTAATTCTTGGAAGAGAAGCCCATGTGGGTACTGCAAGGCAAACTACGGGATTTCCACGACATTTTGGATTGATTGGGACCTTCAAACCTCCGTAACGATAGAAAGGATATACGAGCAACTCTTCCTTAACGTCTGTGTACGCGCTGTATGCAAACTGATGCTCCTCGACAACAGGAAACTACGTTGATTACACCTAACTTAATTCTGGGAACTGGAGCACAATCCAATTCCCTAAATCAAGAGCCCGCCACCAACATCAAGGAACCTTCCCTGAGGGGTTGTTACAATAGTTATGATGGTTTTGAAGAGACCAGAGCATACCACGTCTATACTTGCAAGATTTATTTGTTAAAACCTGCATTTATGATCACAACCCCATGCCAAACTTTTGGTGTACATAAATACACTTATTTGATGAATTTAATTAGCCTAGTGGTTAGCACAATAGGTAGAGTTCTGAGATAGTACTACCATGGGTTTAAGACACTCCCAGTTTGGTTTACCTTGAAGACAGATTATCTTCCCTCAAACTGTTTACTAGAGTAGCTCTTTACAGAGTTAATCTAGGTATATTTTTGGGGACGAGGTGAACCAGTATAAAGGCAGAGCATGGGTTCTAGTATTTCGGAAAAAAAAGGAACCATCTTTAAAGTACTATATCACATTTTCAAAGTTAAAGTACGTTCACAAATTAATTTCGTGTAGGTCTGACCTGCCAGTTCATAGACATTGTTTTCACAAAAATTAGCTACTTTACTGAAGGACATTTAAAAAAAAAACTAGAGTTCATACATATTTATTAAAAATAATTTATCAGATAGCCACAAAAAGTTTAAGCGAAACTTTCCAAATTCTACAGCAAGTCAGGAGATACGCCCTTCAGGTGGACTTTGAATCTCTCAAGACCACGACTTGTTGACACTACTACGAATGTTTGTCTCTCCACTTCCATAATAAGCACAGAGTAGGGATCCTTTACACGAATTTTGTAGAGTAGGATGAAGCCCTAGAAGTGAAAATTGTGTAAGGGAAACCTAGAGGTTTACAGCTAGTACATATTATATTGGTCTTGCATAATTTTAATGCATATCTCTCCCTCCCAAAAGTTGAAAATAACAAACTTTACATTAAACTGTAAATAAGAGGAAACTTTAGAAAATACTTAAAAATTCAAAAAGTTAAAATTGGCATATTTTGATACAATAAATTTTTACCTTTTTTTTTTTTTTTTTTTTACTTTGCTCAAAATAGTCTTAAATACTAAAATTACAATACCGCATTTTATCCGCTTACCTCACGATGAAGATATTCATAAACATATAGACTGTCTTCATAATTAGACAATAGTAGTAGATAGAGCGTGTCGTCTACATGCAACACAGCCTGATCTACCACACCATATGCAGCAAGTGACTGGTATGCTTCAAAATTCCTGGTGTTCATGTTATACCGGAACACCTGCAGAACAAATATAATGCCTGTAATTACCAGTGCTAAACTTTGAAAATTTATTGCCGACGGTATTCTTTTTTTTTTTTTATCACACCGGCCGATTCCCACCAAGGCAGGGTGGCCCGAAAAAGAAAAACTTTCACCATCATTCACTCCATCACTGTCTTGCCAGAAGGGTGCTTTACACTACAGTTTTTAAACTGCAACATTAACACCCCTCCTTCAGAGTGCAGGCACTGTTACTTCCCATCTCCAGGACTCAAGTCCGGCCTGCCGGTTTCCCTGAATCCCTTCATAAATGTTACTTTGCTCACACTCCAACAGCACGTCAAGTATTAAAAACCATTTGTCTCCATTCACTCCTATCAAACACGCTCACGCATGCCTGCTGGAAGTCCAAGCCCCTCGCACACAAAACCTCCTTTACCCCCTCCCTCCAACCCTTCCTAGGCCGACCCCTACCCCGCCTTCCTTCCACTACAGACTGATACACTCTTGAAGTCATTCTGTTTCGCTCCATTCTCTCTACATGTCCGAACCACCTCAACAACCCTTCCTCAGCCCTCTGGACAACAGTTTTGGTAATCCCGCACCTCCTCCTAACTTCCAAACTACGAATTCTCTGCATTATATTCACACCACACATTGCCCTCAGACATGACATCTCCACTGCCTCCAGCCTTCTCCTCGCTGCAACATTCATCACCCACGCTTCACACCCATATAAGAGCGTTGGTAAAACTATACTCTCATACATTCCCCTCTTTGCCTCCAAGGACAAAGTTCTTTGTCTCCACAGACTCCTAAGTGCACCACTCACTCTTTTTTCCCTCATCAATTCTATGATTCACCTCATCTTTCATAGACCCATCCGCTGACACGTCCACTCCCAAATATCTGAATACGTTCACACTCCTCCATACTCTCTCCCTCCAATCTGATATTCAATCTTTCATCACCTAATCTTTTTGTTATCCTCATAACCTTACTCTTTCCTGTATTCACCTTTAATTTTCTTCTTATGCACACCCTACCAAATTCATCCACCAATCTCTGCAAACTTCTCTTCAGAATCTCCCAAGAGCACAGTGTCATCAGCAAAGAGCAGCTGTGACAACTCCCACTTTGTGTGTGATTCTTTATCTTTTAACTCCACGCCTCTTGCCAAGACCCTCGCATTTACTTCTCTTACAACCCCATCTATAAATATATTAAACCACGGTGACATCACACATCCTTGTCTAAGGCCTACTTTTACTGGGAAAAAATTTCCCTCTTTCCTACATACTCTAACTTGAGCCTCACTATCCTCGTAAAAACTCTTCACTGCTTTCAGTAACCTACCTCCTACACCATACACTTGCAACATCTGCCACATTGCCCCCCTATCCACCCTGTCATACGCCTTTTCCAAATCCATAAATGCCACAAAGACCTCTTTAGCCTTATCTAAATACTGTTCACTTATATGTTTCACTGTAAAACACCTGGTCCACACACCCCTACCTTTCCTAAAGCCTCCTTGTTCATCTGCTATCCTATTCTCCGTCTTACTCTTAATTCTTTCAATTATAACTCTACCATACACTTTACCAGGTACACTCAACAGACTTATCCCCCTATAATTTTTGCACTCTCTTTTATCCCCTTTGCCTTTATACAAAGGAACTATGCATGCTCTCTGCCAATCCCTAGGTACCTTACCCTCTTCCATACATTTATTAAATAATTGCACCAACCACTCCAAAACTATATCCCCACCTGCTTTTAACATTTCTATCTTTATCCCATCAATCCCGGCTGCCTTACCCCCTTTCATTTTACCTACTGCCTCACGAACTTCCCCCACACTCACAACTGGCTCTTCCTCACTCCTACAAGATGTTATTCCTCCTTGCCCTATACACGAAACCACAGCTTCCCTATCTTCATCAACATTTAACAATTCCTCAAAATATTCCTTCCATCTTCCAATACCTCTAACTCTCCATTTAATAACTCTCCTCTCCTATTTTTAACTGACAAATCCATTTGTTCTCTAGGCTTTCTTAACTTGTTAATCTCACTCCAAAACTTTTTCTTATTTTCAACAAAATTTGTTGATAACATCTCACCCACTCTCTCATTTGCTCTCTTTTTACATTGCTTCACCACTCTCTTAACTTCTCTCTTTTTCTCCATATACTCTTCCCTCCTTGCATCACTTCTACTTTGTAAAAACTTCTCATATGCTAACTTTTTCTCCCTTACTACTCTCTTTACATCATCATTCCACCAATCGCTCCTCTTCCCTCCTGCACCCACTTTCCTGTAACCACAAACTTCTGCTGAACACTCTAACACTACATTTTTAAACCTACCCCATACCTCTTCGACCCCATTGCCTATGCTCTCATTAGCCCATCTATCCTCCAATAGCTGTTTATATCTTACCCTAACTGCCTCCTCTTTTAGTTTATAAACCTTCACCTCTCTCTTCCCTGATGCTTCTATTCTCCTTGTATCCCATCTACCTTTTACGGTATTCTTACGATTATGAATCTCTTATTCAGTTTTTTCTGCTCTGCCCTCTAGGGCATTTACTGATAAGTTTATCAAGTTTCAAATTTACTTACACTACATTTAAGAATGTACTTACTAGAACTTTTGTAGTGTATTTCAGGCAGTCTCTGAACGCTGGAGAATCTGCCAGCTTAAGCTGTGCCAGAGTAAATAAGGTTTCTTCAAGAGGCGAGACTGTCTGCAGGAAGCTGACAGACGATGTGTGATCCGCCACGTACTCTGCCACCATGGTGAACTAGCCAAGAAAATCAGATATGTATATTTACACTTTATTGTTGCTTAAAGATAAATTAATGAAGCGCAGCTGATAATTACCATTTGAGTGGAGTGGCTCCAAGTGAAGAGTTGTGAGGTGGTAGTGTAAGGAGCAATGGTGTCGTCAGGATCGTAAGTATTTGCAACAAACAGGAACCAGGTGTTGTCAGTCTGCAAGAAGCAACTATTACAATCTAATACACAAATTTAGAATGAAGATGCTGGGCAACCGACTGATCACTTTTGAAAACGGCACGATTTTCCAAAACAATGTTTTGCAATTAAGAGCTTTTGTAAAACCAGTGTATGGGGGGGAGTTAACAACCCATGGTAAGAGTAACTACTAGACTAGAGCATCAAGCACTTTAGTGTACCATGGAAGGTCACATGACATTTCCGGAGAAAGCGCTGATCTACAAGATAGTTACTGTCAGCAATTTGGTCCTATAAGGTTCATTTAAGCCTTTCTACTGCTAGGGAATTTAACACTTAAAAAGATTTTACGTGTCAAAAGTCCTATTTACAAAATTTTCAATGCCATAAGCATAGTAAAATTGTAGACTTAATTCGTCATAGGGAAATAAACTAGTCATTCAGTGGGAACTAGCGTGACCCCTGGGTGGCCCAGCGTGACCCCTGGGTGGCCCAGCGTGACCCCTGGGTGGCCCAAAACCTAGAGATCAAGAACTTTCATATATTTATAAAATGGCAGGCAATAAGCAACATTTTGGTAGCCTTTTACAGTACGAGAAAAAAAAATGTAGATATTTTTCTTGAAACAAAAAAACTTTCAAATTTAAGCGCATAAAGTCTTTTTAAATGTACCAAGATAAGATAAATTTACACTTGTAAACAGTGAAGAGATCAGTGTCAAATACGTGCACTTCAACTTTCTTCCTACCAGAGCAACACAGCAGACTGTACATCAGTAATACAAGGTAAGCAGAGTACACTGTTATGGTCCCTATGAAAGCTGCAGGCTGATGAACCTACATAAACATAAGCAAAGACCTGTTCTGGGACTGGTCTTGGTTCCATCCAGGCAAGATGATCATACCTCTAATAGGACAAACTTGTCCCAATCCATTGAAGTATATTTGCTATTTCTGAAATCTCGCATATTGCAAGTGTTCTTTGTGTACTCCAATGCTTAGTATAGGGATACAATTTTCTTGGATTTTTTGATGAACAATGTTCATTAAGAACTGCCTTTAGCATTCTATGGAGTGATCATGGCCTCGCGAGCCATACCAGTCACTAAAAATATATCCCCACTCCACAAAGGTGGCAGTAAAATCCAAAGAATTACAAAGATAGCACTAAAGTTCCACCAGCATCAAAATCTTTGAAAGTTCTTAGAAACAAGATAGCAATGCCCTTGGATACCCATCAGTTACACAACTCTGGGCAGGACGGGTTTAAAGCAGGTTCCTCCTGCATGTCCCAGTTACTGGACCACTATTACATAGTCTGATGCTATGGAGGAGAAAAAACGGATTTACTATAGACAAAATAATCGCACTTGTCGAAAGTTATGTAATAATATGAGTAATAAAACAGGAAAAATTGGTAGATGGATCTAACTTCCCAACAAATATAACAGTAATAGTAAACTAAAGTCAGAGGCCGCTACAGTAACAAAGCTGTTCAAGGCACAATACTCTCGCATCCTGTTTCTCAGAAAAGCCAAAGCACCGCGTCTTCCTTCCTTCTATGACTACTATGAAGTTTGTTCCACTCATCCACAACTATTACCAAACTAGTCCTTTCCTGTATCCTTCCTTAAATCTGAATTTTTTCCAGCTATCAACCATTCCTGAGAGTCCTGTCTATGCTAGATATTTTTAGCAAGCTGTTTACATACCTTTATAAATTCGAGTTTTCCATTTATATACCTCAATCATATCCTCCCCCCCTAATAAAACGCCTTTGTGAGACCCTTTGTGAGACCCTTTGCTGTCTTCAAGGCGCTGGACAGGCACCTGAATTCAGTACCTGCTAGCTGGGCTGTGGTTCATGCGTGTGCAGCCAGCAGTAGCAGCCTGGTTGATCAGGCTCTGATCCACCGCGAGGCCTGGTCACAGACCTGGACGTGGGAGCATTGACCCCTGTAACCCATTCTAGGTATACAGCATGTTATATTAGCCAATTTAAAATGCAGATTGAAGATAGGAATAACGAGTCAAACCTCAAGGGTGAACAGGTTTAAAAATTAAATTACTTACAAAAGCCAAGTCAATGTCAACAGCTTCCTTGGCAGATTTTATGCTCCATGTTTGTGTAATTTTCTCACCACCTTCATCGAGCTTCAGCACAATTGTCAACGAGTTTTGGGTGCGATCCATTCCTGTAAATATGGGAATAATTAAAGAATATTTACTAGTTAATTTTAGTTCATTTTAGGTTACTTACGGATTTTCTTACCTTAAAGAACATGCAGCATGACGACCAAGTATTAATCCCACTAGAGAAAAAACAGGCCAGTGTTTTGACACCATGCCTTCATTTCATACGAAGCAATGGGGGCTTTTGCATAATACATATCCACTTTTGTTTTTGGTATGCCAGTTTTCACAATCTATGAAGTGAAAAGCCATATAGGGACGTATCTCAAGGGGCACCACTGGAAAAGTAGTTAATTTTCATTTGTGGCTATTATAGTTAAAATTTGTTTATAGGAAAAAGATAAGATACTTACTGTGAATAAATAGCCACGAAGTGCTCGTCATCCAAGGGGTAAATTTAAATATCGATTCTTAGTCCAACTTGAGCAAACTGCTTCCAGTCTTGTGTCTGGCATCACCTGTGGAAATGCATCATTGCTTTGGTATTAAGTTAAAGGCTATATTTACAATTAATATAGAAAATGGGGGTCATTAATTTGAAATTCAATAAATGTCTAAACCATTAATGTGCTATGTCTAATTTAAAAACTTTTAGCATCTTTAACCTCACTTCTCCTTCGCTCCTAGAAATTTAAAATCTTCTGTGCGGGGAAGACTGGATATTTGCTACATTATGCCTAACACTAAGATACAACAAATTTCCATACATAGAGAAAGCCCGAAACTGGGAAAACAGGGTGGGCAGCAACCCGATATCTCTGGGTTGTCATGAAACTTGTAAACCATGCAAGTGCAGAGGGAAGTGGGGGGTATTATCAAGAGTCCCTTTCCCCGTGGAACAGAAGGGTTAGTGCATCGGAAAACTTTATGGACGAGCAGAGCAAAGCACGAAAATAAATGGGAGACTCCCTATTGACTAAGAACGGGCCCCTACCCATTCTCTAGTTTCTCGCAGCAACACAGCAGTGCCTGCAGACTTGGGGAAACCACCTGCCCTACCCAGAATAGTCCAGGGAACGCTCACCCAGAACAGAGCAAGGTTAGATAAAAGTGCCTATTTAGACTAAGCACAGGAGGGACTAGCAGCATTTGTTAATAATTGGTACTGTTAGCTAGTTAATGGAGCACTTGCCTCGTGTCTAGTTTGAGGTTCATCGGCAACAACCAATTGCCACAAAATATGGCCCTTGGCATTATTTCCCCCACTAGAAACACCTAATGTGCCGTGAGTGGTATACAAACTATATTCGTTTTGGTAGTGGAACCATTTCCAAACTGATGGCAGCACAAGGCGTAGCAGGAGTATGTTTTAGAAAAGGGAAAAGGAAGAATCCTCCTCCCCACTGAAGGTCAAATAAAGGGATGGGGGAAGGGGTCGATTGCTACTTTAAGAACTACTTTAAATTTAACCCTATCCGGCAGGAAACGCACGTTATATTCCAAAAAAAGGAGTCTGAGATCAACATAAAAAGGGTTCAAAACTGGGTTTCACCCTTTTTAGACCACAGCACGCTTTTTTTGTACTGAAAACTGTTCATTCAAGGCCGGTGTCTTATGTACATCCAAGACAACTTACCAAGGTTTAAACGGGGCAAGGAAAATAACCCTGCAACGGTCCCCTTGTAACAGGTTTTAGTAAGCACAACGGGGAAGGTGGAGCATGTGCCATCAACAGCTTCCCTTCGCAAGGACAACGGGGGAAGGGGGTCTGGGATCAAAGAAACACATACTTTTAAATTACTTTGTCCCCTTAACTAACAGCCCAAAAATTTAATTGCTGCTCAAAAGGGGAAGGGGCCAAGCAGCACATACCTAGGACAATCTGCTAAAGAAAAAGAGTAGTCTCATCAACGTGAAATACGTTAGAAACAGCAGTTCGGCGTTTTGTCCTACATTTTTTAAACAAATTTCCCCCACACGCAAGGCCCCCGAAATCAGCACTGATCGCTGTTTCGAATACAATTAAACAAAAACAACGGCAGCTCCCATTCCCAATCTTAGCAAGAATCCCCTGAAAACGTAAAACCCTCCCCACACCGTCTCCCTGTTATACTACACAAGCACAGAGAGTGAACACTGAAAAAAGCTCCTCATTCCAGTCTATATTTGGGGAACCTATTTTTTTGTTACCCAAGTAATAGCTTTTATACCCTTTTACTCATGTAAATTTAAATTTTTTTTCATATAGTTTTCTTTTGTCACCCACTACTATACCACTATGAACATTGAAAGGTACTCATAGTATTCACCTCACTCGACCCTTTTTATATACCCTCGTTCCATGTATTTTTTTGTATGGTTTAAAGCCCCGGAGACGAAACGTTGCCCAAAATAAATGACATTTTGCATTTTTGCCCTTTTACTTAATTTGCGGTAATTTCCCAATTTTATTCCAAAATTTTCCCTGTACTGTTTTAAATCAAAAGAAAAGCGGTCCAAAAAAAACTTCAAAGCTGCAGAAATAGAGGAAGCACGGGACGTGAAGCGAAAGGGCTTAGGGGCCACAAGAGCCCCAAACTTTTTTAAAAAGGAGAGGTTATCATTCCGCACTTCGTATTGGGGGGGGGCACCGCTACCACAAATTATAAAAGTCTCCCCGAAAAAGGGGGTTTCAGGGGTTTGCCCCCCCGGGGCCCCAGCGAGACTAGGCCTCGTGGTGATCAGGGTCTGTCAACCGGGCTTTTGCTTCCTCGCCAAACATACGAACCCACAGCCCGGGGGTCAGGGACGATTAAGTGCAGTCCCTGCCTTCTGGGGAGAGTCGGGGGCTATTGGTAATTCCCCCATGTACACTGGGAGGCGGAACAGTTTTTTGGGGGCCCGACATTTTCTCGTTACTCGTGGGCCTCTGTTGTCGTTGGGGGGAAAATTGCTCCGCTGCCGAGTTTTCATGGGAGGTTTTCGTGTGCAAGTTTGGTATTTAAATTCCTTAGATTTTCCCTGTAATATGTATTTTTCTCGCCAGAGTTCCCGGAATAAAAAAAAAACAAACATTAAACTTTTCCCAGTAATTTAGGAGTTTTATAATAGTGTGCATGAAAATTTTGTACATTTTCCAGGTCACAATTATGCCTGCATTGAAGGGGGGAAATTTAAAATTTCAGCATATTCCAGCCCAGAAAAAACGACCGAATGAGGAATACTTTGGCCCCCCAATTTTTTAAGGGTTTTCAAATTTTCTCCCATCATTTTCCCGCAGACGAGGGAAATACTTTTTGGGTCTTTGGGAAGGGGAAGATCCCTGATATTATCCTTCGCTCTTTTGTAGGTTAAATTTTTCGTATACATACACTGAAGTTTTATTGTCAAAATTTTTTCCCTTTTGAGTGGGTTGAAATTTCTCACTGAACTTATATTGTTTAAAGGGGCTCTTTTGGGGGGATTTGAGATCCATTAGGATTCTTGGTGGTATTCGAGGGAGGTCACTCACGGCATTAGCATGTTATCTGCAAAGGAACACCCCGGTTACGGAAACATCTTAAAAAAGCAGGGGAGGGGAGAGTACTGTGCCTTGTTGGAACGCTTTTCACTGTGCCCCCTTATGGCTAGGAAGTTATGAATTTTCCATTTTAATTTATTCCTTATCGCGTATTTTGTGCGCTATAACGGGTTACTTGTCGCATAAGGTTACTACATTGCTTTTTGCTTACCCTTAAGGTCCAGGACCTTCTCATGGTCCGTAGTGGGTCAGGCAGGAGCAACCTGCTCAAAACCCCCGTGTTCCCTTGGGTTGTGTAACTGAGGGTCGCTAGGGGGGTACTTGGAACTCGAAGTTTTTTATGATATTGGATGTTTAGTGCTGTTTAGTCTTTGCAATTGTTTACTCCACCTTTGTAGGTGGGGGGGGGGATTTTTTGTTCTTATTGGGGGCCCCTTTCCATGCTCCCTCTCCATAGAATCTAAAGAGGTGGGGGGGGGGGGGGGCCTTCTTCATTCTGGGGGAAACTTGTTCCACAATCTGGGCCTGGGGCTAGTGCAGGGTTCATTTTTTGCCTTTTAAAGTCTTAGGTGTTAGGATAAACAGATTTTTGGACATAAATTTTTGGGGAGTGTCAAAGACTCCATTTACATTGTCAACCCCTTGTCGGGTTTTTGGCACGCTGAAAATCGAGCGTATTTGGGACTTTAGTATTCATTTCTATTTCTTTAGTCCCCCTTTTGTGTAAAAAAGTATTTTTCCCAAAAAAAAGCAGAGTACCTGTTGACAAAAACATTTTATCCCTCGTGCCATTTCAACTTGCCCCCTAAACTTCCCCATCAACAAAACCACCAATTTAAAATGAAAGTGCTCGAGGCACTAACAAGGGTTAAATAAATGGGTAAAAAAACGGCTTTCAGTTGCAAATATAGCCATTTAAAGAAAACGAGGACATCAAATAATTTTTAAAAAAGGTAAGCAAACACTAATTTATTGTCATAGTGTTTGCTTTTGTCTTTCTAAACCAATTTGCGGAATTTTTTACCCGGTTTTACCACAAAGTAATATTTCCCGCAGTAACAGCCACAGGTATGAAAATTTTGGGGGTACAAAACCATTCCCTTCAAAACTAATTTTTTTAAAAATAAAACGAGTAGCATACGCTTCAATAAAACTTTAAAAGTTTTAAAATAGTTAATGTCCCTGCACACAGGCCCAAGAAAGAGAAGGTATTCTTTGGCTGAACGCCCTTTAAACCTCTACCACATTAAAAAACGAAAATAGAGGGGGGTGGGTTTATTTGTGTACTTTTATCTTTTGAGTTATAATCTCTACCACAGAACAGGAGCTTATTTTATATGACAAGCAGCCTTTGGGCAAGTCACCACAGGAACCGAAAGGTTTCTCCCCGCCCGGGTCCCTTTAGGAAGGGTTAATTCCCCGCACGAACAATTACCTCAAAAAAAGGAGGCAAAGTCCCAGAATTTTTAAGACTTGGAAATTTAAATTCGCCTAAGTGTCCGCAAACAATTTTCTACAGACCCCTTTTATGACATTGTGTAGAGCAGCGACATGGAGGATCTGGGCAACTAATTATCTTCAGGTACTGACCCTCTGCTCCAGGAATCCTACCAGTCCAAAGTCTGCCATATACATTAGTGTCTCTGGGTAGGTCTATCTTCTCCAGGTACGAGAGTTCAGAGTACAGTCCTGAGAAAATTTGTATTTAACAATTTGCTTTCCTGAACACTACCATGGTTCGTAGCTTCATACGAAGAACCATGAATTTAAGCTAGATTTACTAGTATCAAAACTTTCTAAATTTTTACTTGGAAACTGGTATATCGTATTATTTCAGTCAACTTAAGTTTTTATAAGAAACTATGCCAATTAAATTTAATCTCACCTTTGGCAGTTTCGTAGTTTTCTTCATGAAGTGAACCAAACTGATTCAGGATACTGTCAATTCTATGATAATGTTCAGTGATTCTCGTTCTCAGAGTAGACAGATTGCGGCTTAGTTCTGAGAGGTCTAAATCATTGACAGTGTTCTTGACAAACGCCTTCACTGAGCATGTTACTTTTTTCTCAAAAACCTGGAAAAAATTTTTTAGTATCGGATGAACGATGCGACAGTCGAGGAGGCAATGTGATTCCTCAATTAAAATACAGAAATGTTTAACCTTCTAATATCAAGCGATATTTTAATCAATTTCAAAAACGTTAATGAGCATTCATGAATAATGTTCAGAGTTAGGAAGTATAATAGTTACCACAGGAGTATTTATGGTGACACTGCGGTCTAGTCTCACTAGTGTATTATTCAGCTTCCAGAGGTCTAAACCATTTAGTGTAGAGGCGAAGATGTCCCCGGTAACAACGAGACCACCATTCAATATCTTTGTGCCTGATATTACCTGCTGTGAGCTGCTGTACCTCAGTACCAGGTCAGATATAGACACATTATTTATCATTTCTACCTGTAGATCACCTGTGGGTTTCAACGACTTTGTAAATGTTATTTCTTAGTTAATAAAATGCAAATTATAAACAGAGCACAAAGTTCACAGTTATCACTTTACACTTGCCTTCCACTCTCATTGCCTCAAATGTATAGGATCCAAACAGAGTTTGTGTGGTATTAAACACAGCTCTGGTAGAGAAGAAGTCTTCCAAATCTATGCCATCAACCAGCCCAGACACCTGAAAATGTTAAATTAATGCTCAAAAATGAGATTCAAGAATTCAGCATTTTTTTTTAATCATCCATTCTAATTTCTAGCAGAAAATTTTAATCTACTTGCAAAGTGAAGCTTATATTGCACAATAAACTAACCAGAACATTGCCAAAAACTATGATTGGAGCAGTAAAGATGAAATCAACAGCCATGGACACTTCCCTGGCTGGTACCACCAGGTTCTGTACAGCGACACTGCCAACATACTCTGCAGGTTTAAAGTTCAGCTTAAATTTATTAGTACCGATAAAGGCAAGAGACCGTCAGTACCTAAAGTATTCTCTAAAGAAAACAAATCGCAACTTACTGGCTTACAATACCGTCAACGGGAATTTGGTATTCCTGAAGAGAAGTGGTTGCCGGAATTACTCTCCCCTCCCCCCTTTTTTTATATATTTTTATTTAAAAGAACACATTACAAGACAAATAAAATACAATAATGAACAGTTTGCAAATACAAGGAACTACCAGCCACCCCATAACATACCCTAAGTGTTAGTCATGTGTATTAAAGGATATACCGTCACCTAACAATGAAAACAGGATAACACCTCAGAAAAAAAAAAACTAAAGTCTAAACCTACACTTCACGCCTGTTATACAGTACACTAAGACGACCTTGCGCGAAATGCAACAGATATAATTCAGCATACGAAGGATTAAATTATACATTATAAATGTTAAACAAAAGACAAACCTAAACCTACAATAAAATTGCAAAAACATACCACAATAATACTTGCCGCAATAAGCAGGAAACTCTTAACATGAAAATAAAAGTTTAAATTTAACTTTACACTACCACAAAACTCGCCAATTTCTAGTGAAATTACAACTAAAAGGGCACCAATGAACATTCACAACGCATTCATACCCAGCTCGAACACATTTTCACAGATTACAATACACATACCCAAGACTAGTGTGTATTCCACTATAAAACATCACGCAACACATACACGCCAGTCAACCATACACACGTAAGTGATTAAATATGTATTATACCTGTATACATATATCAGATTACAGAAACCTTATAACAAACTTTAGCCTGTAATCCCAAGACCTCATTTTATTATTATAACATCAACGTCTTTCCAACAATTGTTGATAGTGATGCCTTTTGACTAAATTACACAATTTTTAACTATTTACAAACTAATCCAGACAGCAAGATAATGTACACACACGAATCATTCACGATCACCTGTTAAATGTTACATAAATTACATTACCTGTAACAATCTCACTTCAAAATCCGTACATAACAATCATTAATATCTTATTATCGATGCAATATCATAAAACCAAGATCACATCAATGATCTGCCAATAAAAATTATAGACTAACGCCATGGTTTACTTAAACCCAAATAACATCAGGACCCAACTTATTTCCAACCCAGCATCACGTGTACAAGTATCATTCTTACATAAAGTACACTGATACATTAGTGATTTATCATATGGGGGTAATCATACATTTCATGGAACCTGCTCGCTTGGCATACACTATAATCTTCCAATTAATTAATTACATGTGAAAACCCTATTTCAGTCTTGTTTATACTCCATCAACCTACCATATCCACTTCTACCCAGCATCCAGACAATTCCTCACCATACCAAGTCCAACAGTCATACCCTCCCAAACGCCAAAAAGACCAGCCACGTCTACCCCTTACTGTATTAAAGCCCATAAATCCCTTAAATGAAATCCGCAATATCCCTCCGAAAAAGTCAAAAGCCATTTGCTTCCAGCAATATTCTTATTCCGCTGCTGTGTACCATAGAAAATCGCTGCCAACGCCCTGATCCTCTCTTACTGGTAAGCGTCTATAAACCCATGAAATATATACAAAATCCGTAACTAAATATCCCATTGCGTTTTGCACCAGCAACCCTACTTTCTCCCCCCCCCCCTCACATCTAAACTTAACGCTTTTAAAACACTAATTCCCCCACCATATGTAAAACCCTGCTAAACCACACCCTCACCGATTCCAATCTCAAAAATACACTGCATGATACGCAGTCTCGATCTCCCCACACGCACAACGCTCTCCCCCCCCCTCTTGCACATGCCTATTCGCTAACACTTCCCCGCACGGCAATACATTATGAAGAAATTTGTACATTACCTCCCGTACCCCGACCCTCAATCGTAACTTCGTCAGACGTCCCCAAATATCGTGCCATGCATACATCGGAAATATGCCCTCTACTCTAACCACCCCCTCCCTACCTCCCACCAATGCCAATTTTCCAATCTTGATCCTACAAGGCATCCTTGCAGAAGTTAATACCCTCAACATGTTCTCGCATCTTTCAAGATCCCGCCATTCACCCAACGTACCAAATCCCTTCGAATCCCCGTCAAACCTGTACCTGCCCTCCCGACCCTCCCTCAAATAACTATTGTTTTACATACATACAAGCCTAACATTTGCATATGCAGGTTCATTAACCCCAGTCCACCCCGACGAGTCGGCAAATACACATCTCTCGCTAACCAGTCATATCCAGAACCCCAGAGATATCGAAATACACGCTTCAATAACCTTTTTTCATCGCACTGGACTAACGGATACATGCTTTCCACAACTTACCAAACAAAAGCACATTCGCCACGATTGCACGCTGATGTAAAGATAAGCTCCCTGCACGCAGTCCCGCCAATCGTCCTAAAACCCTATCCACAGCCTCTCTAAAATTAACCTTCCTCGTTTCCTTAATATTCCTCATATGGACGATCCCACATACCTTAATTTTGTTAACTAAAGACCAACCTTCCTCCTGACCTAAGTCCCCCCGGATATAATCCCCCACACGCATAAGCATGGACTTTTCCTTATTAACCGTCATCCCCGTTGCTCTCCCGAAAAGATCCACCAATTCACCCACTTTTCGTAAATCCTGTGATCCCCTGTATAAAATCGTAGTGTCGTCTACATATCCTACGATTCCTGCGTTTACCCCCCCCCTCGCCTCTCACTCATTTACACTCCCCCATGCAGCCCTGAAAAAAGGGTCCTGAATTAATGCAAACAATCTGCGACACAGGACACCCCTGTCTCAAACCCAACTAATTCCAACTAATTTCCCCAACCTGCCATTTACCTGTACCTTAAACGTAGCTTGCTCATACAAAGCCATTGCCCAGCTTACTATTTCTTTCCCAAATCCTTTCCACTGCATAATTTTCCACAAAGCTTCACGCTCCACACAATCGTATGCCGCGTGCCAGTCCAGAGCCAATATTCCCCCTGCCTTTCCCTTCCCACTTCCCTCAATAAGCCTATGTATTATGCCTTGACCCACTCGTTGATCTCCCGGGTACCCCATATTGCCCTTCATCCAATACCTTCTCTAACACCCTCTTAATCCTATTACCTAGCACTTTTGCAAAAATTTTATAATCGCCACACAATGATATCGACCTATAGTTATGTATACAGTTTCCCGACGCGTTTTTCGGAATCTTAACCACAACACCTGTTTGTTGTACCCCGAGTCGTCCACTATCTTTCATAGTATTAAATAAAACAACTAAAAATTCACGGAGACATTCCCAGTTTTCCTTATAGAAATCACATGAGATACCATCGATCCCCGGTGATTTCCCATTGTTCATACTCTGAACAGCTATTCTAACCTCCTCACTTATAGGTCCGTTCAAATTCATTCGATCCTTAATCTCAAGATCACAACATTCCCGTTCACCCATGTCTATTACTTTTGAAATTCCCACCTTTTTGTACTGCACTTCATACCATGCATCTACATAGCATCCCATGCCCTCAGTGGACGTAATGAGTTGTCCCCTACGATATGTTCCCAATTGCTCCTGAACTTCCAATTCCATTATTTCTGTCTCCCTTCGACGCTTGCCCTGCTCCCTTAAAACAAACGCCGAAGGACGATCACCCCATATTTCATTTATACCACTCGCTATCCGGACCGCATCAAAGTTATGATTGTGGATATCCCCAATTAGTTTTTTTAAACTTTCAATTTCAGCCACCGGATACACCCCCCTGCCATTCACAACATTCCTGCAGTTGTCCTTCCAGATAGTGCAAAACCCCATATTGCATTCTCAGTTCTTCTACACCACTTCTGATAAAAATCCCTCTCCTTCATTTTTCCCGATTGTGTCCCACCATTCAATAACGTCATCCCCTACCCGACATTCATTCCACCAATCCTTCCACACTCTCAAATGACTCCCTTAAACCTTTTTTATGCATTAACCCAACATTCAATTTCCAGAAACCTCCAACGCCTTGGTAATCCCACCCAATACACATCCGCCATAACTCCTCTATGATCGGAGTAACTCACATTTAAAGCGAACATATATTCGATCCAATCTCTCTGCATGCTCCTTCCTAATAAACGTGTGCAGTCCCCCCCTACCTCATCCCCCCACCTCATCCCCCCCACATCCATAACATTCACACTGTAAATCCCCTGAAAAAAATACCCGTCCTCTAGGCTCTACATCTTTGCGACGATCAATGCAATTCCAGTCTCCCCAATAATTGTTACGCCTGGCAACGACCTTAAATGGTACACCAAAACGTCCCTAGAAAAAACATTTTTAATACGCATATCACTTTCCGCTGGGCCGTAAACACCAATGAATCCCACTTGCACCCCACCCCATGCACCAACCACCCTCCCCTCTCTTCTCCAATCTCACATTTCTGTAGAGAAAACGGGCCGACCTCTTATTAACACTGCCACACCTTTCAATCTACTAGAACAACCCATGTACACCACAACAGGGGAATTGATAATTCCTGAAAGATTTATAATTATGTTCCTGTAAAAACACTACATCAGGAACGTATTTCCTTTATAGCATCTCCAGACATTTGCGCTTATTAATCTACTTTAATCCGTTAATATTTAAAGTAATGCACCTGAAGATTTCATTGGCTGTTTACCCTTGGATATCTCTACATTCTTAACACCCTTGCAGCACTCTCCCCTTCCCCCACGCCCCCCTATGCAGTCTCCTTTCTCATGCTGAACACTTAGATCCGCCTGTATCTCGACGGGTCTCTTCTTTCCATGCTTTTTTTTCAAGATCTTTGGCCGGGAGCTAAAACATCGTCACTATCCGTTATCACCGCAGCCCTCTTGCGGCAACTACGATCAATGATCATATCGTCCTCTGAGCTATTATCCCTGTGTACCGCC